TTGGTGGGGGTAGGTAGTAGGGTGGGTATATATTTAATTTAATTTAATTTAAAAATATGATTATCAATATTAATTGTAAAATTAAAACCTGATTTTTGCTTAAATAAACTAAAAATCTGATTTTTTAAAAGTCAAAACTAAACACCTTGTTTATGGTATTTTTCTCATAAATCTACCGATAATTGCCATAGGAAGACTGGTTTCCACTAGGCTGGCGGGATCCCTACAATACGCTACTCTTTCTGCAGTTAAAACGACGTCGCTCCTCTCAACCTAATTTTAATTTTGAGACGAACTCTCTCCCCCACTCTCTCTATTATAAAGTTCCACTGCTGTGCATAAATTATTCTTCTACTAAATGCTATAGATATTAGTGAATAACTAAGTAGCAATCAATCTGGAAGAGAATGATGGGTCGTAGAGATAGTGCATTGATGAGAAAAGACACTGGCCAATCCATTCGCCGATCCAGGATCGCCGCCGCAATCGCCGTCGGAATATTCCTCGGCTGCGTATTCGCCTTCTTCTACCCTGACGGATTCTTCGTTTCCACGCCTCCCATTCACCATTCCGTCGACATTTCCAATTCAGAGGTTTTATGCCCGATTTCTTACTTTATATGTTTATGCGTTGACTTAAAAATTCGACTTCAGAGTTGAGTCGCTGATGCACTCAGATCCCATGAATTTAAATCGTTGTTTTACTGCAGTATGTTCCCCACGTTATTCATTGCGATCGTGGTGTTGATATACAGAATGAATGAATCTTAGAATTTTAAGCTTATGTTGTAACTTAGAAAATGAAATTTCTTTGCATTAATGGCATTTTTTTTAAAAGTAATATTGATGTGATGTGAATTGTGTAAAATTCATTCACATTTACATGAATTGATGCCCTTCAGCTCTTAACATAATTGAAAGCATAACAGCCTTCTCTTTTGTTCAATAGTATACTCTTTTGATGAATGGACCTATGGTTCTTCCAACGTTTGGTTGTCTTTGATATCTTTGGGGGCACGATTCGAAAGTATTCTGCCAAATTTGGGGGAAATTTGTTTCATTAATATTAGGCCATCAACTTAATGTTTTCAGTAATTGTATGTTTATTAGATTGCTTCCTCATCATGCAAGTCATCAGAACGCATTAACATGTTAAAATCGGAGTTTGTAGCTGCTTCAAATAAGAATGC